AAATGCTGACGGATGTTGACGTAATAAGGTAAGTGGCAATAGAGTTTATAGTAACTGAATTTAGAAAGAACCCTTACCATAAAAGTGCGATGCCTTAATTTCTATTTTTAGCTGGCTATATTTTGTTTTTTTTATATATAAACGAAACTATATTTACGCTCTGAAAAGACGGTGTTCTCATTAATCCAAGTTCTGCCTACCGCTCAATAAATTATCTTAATTATAATTATATAAAGACCACACTACCGTGATAATGGACAAATCTTAAAAGTTTTGTCACACTTAGAATTGAAGGAAGAATTGAAATACGTAATAATATACAGGGGGTTCTATTTAAAAAAATGAAACTTTGATGTGCCACGACTTATGAACGACCCTGTATACTTAAATTTATTACTCGCTAATAGATATTTAAAAATCCTATAACTTTTGTATTTAACTTTTTGCGGTACTTCCTATATTTTACATAATAATCGATCGTTTCCATACATACAAGGGACCCTGTATACAAACACACGGGTTTAGAGTATACCAAAAATGTATTACATAGTTATTCTAAAAGTGTTAGGAAGTATAATTTGTGAAAATTCTAAAGATAAAAATAAAAAAATAAATATTTTGATATCTTCAGAAGGTCTAACTTGTATTATAATTTATTATTCCAGCAAAAAAATACTTTTTATGCTGACTTGTTTCGTCAAAGCGCTTGAATCCATTTTTGTTTTTGATCAAATCGGTGTGAGAAACTATAAAACTATAAAATGTTGTTTCGGGTGAGTTGAATATCCGGAAAGTTGAATTATTGAATGCTATTGCACTCAACAACGCCCTAATTGTGCTCTCTTTTACGCGTTAACATTTTTTCGGCAATTTTATTAACATTTGAAATTGTCACAACACAACACGACGCCTAGTTAGGATTCTTTTTCACGGATTTCACTCAATTTAGGAGCCGGTACGACATAGGGACTTTCCCCTTTTTGTTTTTGTTTTCGAAACTAAATTACTAAACGGAATTTTAGGTGTCGCATTTGGTACAATCTTCGCCATGCCAGTGACAGGTGTCATTTCAGCCTCCTGGGCAGGATGGCCGGCAGCATTTTACTTCTTCGGTGGTGTCGGATTGGGTTGGTGCGTGCTGTGGATTATATGGGGACGAAACAGTCCAGCCGACGACAAAACGATAACTCCAGAAGAGAAATATTATATTGAATCGTCGCTTAAAAATACAGGAGATAAAAAGGTAAATTTATATATTCTAACAAGAGGTTTCTTAGGATGTATACACATAATTACGCACTTTTTGTTTAAATTCAGACCTTGTTTATATAGTCAAAAATAGCTCAAACATGTTTACTTTTAAACGTTGATACAGCCTGTCAAAGAACTATTTCTATTGATGACATCCAAAAAATTAGAGAGAAAGGATTAATCTATACTATGCACTAAAAGGACAGAACTGTCATTGTCATTTATCCTCTTGGTGGGCAGACTATACTTCTGTTTTGATGAACCTATGAATAAAATTGGTTTAAGATTGAATCAACTTGGTATCAAATAAAAAATCGGTAAAAAAAACTTTTAAGTTAAACGATTTTATCTTATGTGCACTGAAAAATAGAAAATAATAATAACAATTAGGTATTTTGAACTTCTAGTTCAGAAATATTTTAGTACTAGGCAGAACAGCTTTTAGGCATATTAGACTAAAATAAAAACGTGGGGCCCATTAACTATTACTGTAATACTTTCTTCTATACTAAGTATGGATTGCATCGACTTACTATAATCGTAACTGGAGATTTTGACAATCAATAACCAGCCGTGGCGGCTTCACCAGCGAACGCCGAGCTCATGATCTACCAAAGTATAAAGATATGCTTTGCCATGGGTAGGATTTCAGAGGAGCCCCACGTTTTTATTTTTAGTCTAATATGCCTAAAAGCTATTCTGCCTAGTACTAAAATATTTCTGAACTAGAAGTTCAAAATACCTAATTGTTATTATTATTTTTAGTTTCAGTGCACATAAGATAAAAAAACCGTTTAACTTAAAAGTTTTTTACCGATTTTTTATTTTCTAGTTTTTAGTATTTAACGGAAATGCCTCTACCGAATATTCCTCATTCTATTTAATTCATTTAGTGCATCATTATTACATGGTTTTTTACCTGATGATTTATTTTTGTTTGTTTTTTTTTATTTATTGTTACCATGTTGTTCCTAATGAGTAATGGACATTTTAACGGTCGACCCCCCCCCAGAGGTCCAGTAGAGGGGCAAGGCTATAATATACAACAAGAGGCACCCAATCTTGAGGGGAAAACGCTTGCGACATTACATTTTTAGCCACCCTAATGCGATACAGTCCTCAGCACGTTTTAACCTATTACCTTAACTTGAGTGGTAAACCTACCGCTAACTACGTAGGTACATCTAATCACCTTTTTTTTATCTGTCCTTCTAACGTCACACAATCTTGGACACAACTGTTCTGGACACGACTACTCATGCCCTCACCTAATACGCCATTTTGTAACGACGTCCATCTTGGATTTTAAATTTTGTCATAATCACAGTATTCTACTAGTGTAGCCCTTTCATTTGATACCCATATTGAGGGGGTTGTGGAAAAATATGAAATCCGCCATTTTGCACCGGCGGCCATCTTAGATTTACAATGTTATTGATATTACTATATTGTATTGTCATCTGAACTAAAGGTGTGTACCAAATTTCAGATCAATCTGACAACAGGAAGGTACTTAAATTTCAATTTCTAATATTGGCCCAAATAAATAAATACCGTACGGGTCGAGCTCAAGAACGGTAAACTAATAGGATTGCTCATCCTCATAAGACGTACGTTTGCCTCTTCCCGCGCTTCAGCTGACAGTTGTGACGTCATTGTAGTCCTTGTCAAAGCCTTCGTGGCCTTGTCATGATAGTGTGTATTATTAGTTGCCTATGGCAAACTTATAAAAATAACAGCTGAGAAATTTTGAGTTAATTATTTTGTCAATTTTAAATGTGAAAAAGGTATCTTTAAAGTTTTTAGAGCTATAGAGTGTATAAATACGTTCATTTTGTGTTGTGGATTGTGACAAAGTGCATACTAAGTGCCCACGATTTTGTTTATTAATTATTTTAAAGCAAAATATGGAAGTACTCTAAAAAGAATGCTTGCAAAAGGTGATGCTGGGAACTGCTGTTTTTAAAAATGCATTATCCGAGTATTTAATAGGATTTATACAGTTAATTTTCTATACTGCATACATATAAGGTGTTTAAATAAATAAACTAAATAATGAACGTTTTGCATTCGGCAACCAATAATACACACACGTGCATTATTGGTTGCCGGATAAGGACTAATAATCATGACAAGGACTACAATGACGTCACAAAGCGAGTAGTTTTCGCATGCACCTGGCGGACACTTTTGGCTGAATGAGCAGTCCTATTAGATTAACTGTTCTTGGGTCGAGCTAAATAAAACCGTTTAAATATGCGCTATTTTGCTCTACTTGTGAAGAATGAGATGAACTGTACCCTAGTGACATTGTTAGTGTTCATATGAAGACTTGGAGTAAATAATGTTCTAAGTGCCAAAATCATTATTTCGAGATAAACAACATTTTTTATTTAATAACCAATGTATAAGAACGGGCAGTGTCTCTATTGAGATTTTTTTTCAATACAGTTTAATAGCCGTTACACTTACCGTTTTATACAGGGTGAGTCTTAAATATGAGCAAATATTTTCTGAGCTCGTAGATCTCGATAAAATAAACATATTTTCTCTTTACAGTTTCTCAAATAAGTCCAAAATAACATGAAGAATTATTTTACATTCAAAATTTCCAAAAAAATATGTTTTTTGTTTAAATTTGAGAATAACTGGGTCCGAGGGATGACTCACTATTGGAATTACATATATATTTTCTTGGCAGGTGCCGGCAGTCATTGGCAGTCTTACGGTAGTCGCCTATAATAATTACATGGCAGTCATAGGCAGTCTTCTTTCGCAGTCACTGGCATTCGCTTGGCAGTGAAATTATATTTTTGGCACTACTTGTACATTTTACCCAAGTGGGACACCCTGCGACGGATCTTATCTAGGTTTTCTTTCTTGTAATTTGTAAAATTTCCAAAAAATTTTTTCAAAAAATTCCAAATTTACAAAAAAAAATTACAAAAAATCTCTCATAATCGTGTTTCTGTGGTCGAAATATACTACCTCTAAAGTTATTTAAGACTCACCCTGTATATGTTGTTGGTTGGTAAATGGAACTTTTAGGTCATTTTACAAATGAAACATGACAAACCGATTTTTTGGCAACTTCAATTCTTCATATGTTTCGTTTCCAAATTCACAAAATAATGTTGAAATTAAAAAAATATATACCTACGTACGGTATTGAATAAAGTAATAAAAGTCCTTGTCCAAAAAAGGGCTCAAACTGCAAGTATGCAAAGCCATTTACTACTTCAAATAGTATTTTGTTTCTATTAATATTAATATGTTTATATAAAATGAATCAAGATTTAACATCTATAATCTATTATATTTGAAAATATTTCATTTTTAGCCGCCTAAAACTCCATGGAAGGAAATCTTAACGTCAATGCCTGTATGGGCAATAGTTGTGGCAAATTTCGGACAAAATTGGGGATACTCGGCTCTTCTGACCGAAATATCAAATTATTTGAACAAAGTTTGTGGTCAGGATGTTTCAAGTGTAAGTATAATCATAAGAAAAAATTATTAAAAATAGACTCAAATACACACACAGGAAAAACCTAGGGATATCATTTTATTAAAGTTAAAAATAAACGTTTTGAATAAACAACCACATATTTGTATAAGCCGATTCTTTCTACTTCGATTGAAACGATAGTCACACTAGTTATTTCTAAATTTGCGATATTTGCAGAAGTGTTTGTGCATTTTTTGTCAAATGTATAAAAAGCACCTAGCATCAATTGTTCGAATTTAACCTGTACTGGCTATGTTTTTATGATAACTGGCCAGAATTTATTCAAATAACTCTGTTTAGTATTAACCGACTTAACAGAGACGAAATGCTAAGGACCATGGGTATGCTTGAAGCTGGAATGCGCCAAATCGACGTAGCTAGAGCATTAAATACAACGCAAACTGCAATATCGCGATTAAGTGCGCGCTACCGTGAAAGTGGTGATGTTGCTGAAAGGCACACAAGGCGACATCGCATTACTACCCCTCAGCAAGATCATTTTTTACAATTAAATGCTCGACGCCGACCGACTCTTACAACACCAGAGCTTAGTTTAATTCTTCAGGCAACACATAATGTAACCGTTAGTCCTGACACTGTTCGCAATAGATTAAGAGAGGTCAACTTAAGAAGCAGACGCCCCTCGAGAGCTCAACCCTTAACGAGAGGAAATCGATAGGTACGATATTTGTGGGCTCAAGATCATGTTCAGTGGTCGAATGAACAATGGGCCAATGTTCTCTTCACGGATGAGTCACGCTTTGGAATTCATCCGGATTCGAGAAGGCTTAGGGTATGGAGAGAACCGGGAAACCTAATTCGGTTGGATCATGTTCAGGAAGTGCACCCATATCAAGGTGGAACAGTTATGGTCTGGGGAGGAGTCCAGTTAGGCCGAAAAACCGATCTCGTTTGAAAGGTTTCTAACAGGAATCACATATCGTGATTTAATTCTTGAGCCTGTCGTGTTACCATATGCCAATGATTTTGGGGAGAAACTTCATTCTCATGCATGACAATGCACGGCCTCATACAGCAGAGTGGTAAGTGAGTTTATCAATGCTCATCAATTAACATCTTACCCTGGCCGGCACAATCTCCTGACCTCAACCCCATCGAGCACGTATGGGACGCGGTCCAAAGAAGAATTTTGAGAATGGGTATGCCTCGTGAAACTCGTAGGGATCTGATTCGGGCCGTGAATGCAGCACCTTATCAGGAGAATGGAGAGACGATGTAGGGCTGTAATGAACAGTGGAGGAGGCCATGCCCTTTATTAAGTAAAAATGGTTTTATCTTTTTTTTTTAATTCACAGTTTAGAATAAAAAAAATGTGTGTATTTTTTTGAGTTCAATAAAAATCAAGGTAAATTTGAAGAATTGGGTAAATTTCGCATTTTTATTTCCAATACGTCCTGTAAACTATTTGTTAATTTTAATTTTATTATATCAGAAATGCAAATAATAAAATTACTGACGATGGCTGGATAAAATTGTAATATCCCTAGACTTATCCGGTGTGTGTATATACGTGTATACTCAATTTTATCAATACATGTACTATCAAGTACATAAACTATGTACTTCGAAGGTTGTGACATTCGTTGAGTAATAACATAAATTGTGACATCTATTGATTATTTCAATTCCAGACATTGCTGGTAGCGATTTTTACCAAGAGAATTTTTTATGTGAAAAACACCCAGACACCAATGATCAGTTTTTTGTTTAAAATAGATCAGAAATTATTCAAAAAAACCCAAAATAAAAATGAAATTTCTACACCCTGAATGTCCTAAATGGAAGATTTTACGATATAAATTTAAATGAACTTTTTTATCTTATTCTAATCTGCAGAATATGTTGCCAAAATTTCCAGATTACATTCTGACCACCCCGTATAGACAGTCGAATTTATAAACATTCTACATTGTTTTCAAAACCATATATAATATTAAAGCCTTTTACCGATTAATTGATCAAATTTTGATTAGATCGATAAGATTATTTATTAAGTCAAAGTAAACACATTTTTTGCATGTTTAATAGTGCAATCTTCTAGGAGAATGGCAACTAAATGGAAACACTTAAAACTTAAAATATTTTAGATAAAAATACAGGAATAAGAACCAAAAATTTTATTTTTTTCGGTTAGGTAAATTTGTTATTATATGTACTTAAACACAGTGTCATATTTAAAACAAATATCATAAAAACAGATTTTTCAATAATCTAGAAGCCATGGTTTACTCTCAGACGACAATACTTAAAACACGAACAAAACAAAAGATTCATGATTATTGAATCGTTTATGTCTATGACACTTTGGTAAATGACTAATAATAAAACTGATAACATTTTTAGAGTTCTTGGTTATCAGCTGCACCATATCTAGCTCTCTTCATCCTAGGAATGACGTTTGGCCCTATAGCTGATTGGCTTATAGTCAAAAACTACCTCTCGGCAACTAACACGAGAAAACTGATGAACACAATAGGTATTTCAACTATTTAGTTTATTTGTTATAAATGATACAAATTATATTTTCTTTCTAGGGACTTTTTGGGCCAGCTATTGCCCTTGCCGTCCTTGGTTATATACCAAAAGAAAATATCTTTTTGATTGAAACACTCTTAATTATTGCTGTTGGTATCAACGCAGCTGTTTGGTGTGGCTTCCAGGTGAATCACGTGGATTTATCACCGAAGTTTTCAGGAATTTTGATGGGACTGGGAAATGGATCGTCGAATATATTTTCCATTGTTTCTCCTAACATAGTGGGGGCTATTGTTACTCATGAAGTAAGAACTATACATATTATAAATAGTATACTGTACTAAAGCAATATTGCTTACTGTTTTAGACATAATTTTAGCTATGTTAGATTGATCAGTTCATAATACAAACTAATTTAAACAAAACTTTGCTAGTACTATACAAAAGATATACCTCCGTTGACCGATATACAGGGTGTCCCAGGATAAGCGTGTATTGGAAGTATCTAAAGAACTATATACAATATCTAGATCGGAGATTTTTTGAAAATTCTATGAATATTGATATTAAACACTCTATACCTAACATTAACCTTTTTTGAGGAAAAAAATACTTAAAATTTTTGGACAAAAAAAACTGCCTGTCAAAAATATGTGAATAGCCTAAACGTCAAATTTAGTTATTACCACAGCCACTGTGCCATAAAGAGAAGGCATGTGGCTAACTATTTAAAAAAAAATTGTTCGAATTTCGAATGCCATATAATAATGACAGCAGCTGTCATGGAATTTAACGATTAAAAAATTATCATAAATCATTTTTTTCAAAAGGAAACCCACTTTTTTATTTCACTAGTGAAAAGGCTTTTTCAATTCGTTACTTTTTGATTATACATGTTTCTATACCTAAAATAAATTGTTTTTAAGTTATTTAAGATTTAGTTTTAAAGCGTATATTTCTTGCTTTAACCAGTAGCCTCCCAAGTAGCATCTATCTGACTTCGAACTAAATCTGACCTGAAGCGACGTCAGACTTTGTGCAAATTTAGGTCGGGTGCTGGTGATACGACTGGTGACGTCACTTTCCTATTAAAAGTGACGTCGTTGGATCCGAGTCGGCAAATCCAACGATTTGTCGACGTACAAAATAACAACGTACCATTTTTATTAATTTCCCAACGTCGTTCCAACGTTGGCTTGCACGACGGACCTATACTTGAACTAGCCCGACGTCTACCCGTTGTCCGAATAGGATACGTCTCACTGATAATCCCTAAAGTAACGTCCAATTATATTTTGTTGTATTTTATGTTCATATTGTTAACCTAATTTACGTATCTCTATTTACGTCCGTAAATACAACCCATTAAGTAGCATTTGCGGCCTAATAAACATCATGAACATAACCTAATAAAAAAGTTTTTGTAAACAAACTTAATTTTTTTGATTATGCCTAAAAAACACTAAAAAGGCATTTAGACATTCATCTACATTTTACAGAAAGAGGTCGAGGCTTTTGCAAAATAATAATAGTAGTAGTGATGTCTTCCCTCCGCCCACGAATGCTTTTTATCCGGAAGAGATGCTGCATTACACTTGTGCATCTTAATTTCATTTTTAGCTTAAGAAACCAGCAGACCCCATCCTCCTCCCACATGTGAGGTACTGGTTCCAATTCTTTTAAATTTTTGTATATACTATCTTAAAAAAGTGGCTGCCCATTGTTTTAAAGAGAAAACAAAAACTAAAATATAGTTGCACAAATCCACAAATCACTGATACGCAAAGTGAGGTTACGTGGCGTACGTTGGAATTATATACGTCATAATACGATTGCCGGTCGTCCGGTTTGATGACTTCGGTCGTGTGAGACGACTAATGTTGGAGACCCGGTCGGAATTGGTATATTGGTAGTTCATATTAAGTCGGACACAGAAATCCGCCATTCTTAACAGGTATGCGATTGTGAGCCATTTTTGAAATCGTTTTTTGTTTTTAAAATTTATATTCACATTCCGATTTCTAGTAGAATAATATTGATAAGGTTGAGTTTGGGGGGAACCACAGTACAGTTTTATGATTAAACCAGCTAGAAAATAAATAAAATATTTTGTGAGTTACTTTTTAATAGATATTTTTTATTTCATAAATTACCTACTTTTGAAGGCGCTCGTTGTTTTCCGGAGTATTTTAATCAGATATATAAAAAAAGTGACTTCCGTTGACAAAACTGATGTCTGGATTAATGATTCAGAATTATTATAATATCAAATTAGGTAGACACTTATAGTTCTATTCGAGGAGTGATTATGAATCCATTTGTAATTAGGTAGTTTGGTTAGGTTTTTATGTATTCTTTGTAACGAATATGAAACCAAACGTAACGTAAGTGCTTAGCGACGAATTTTGAGTGACTAAAATCCAACGTAATATGACGTTGGTAATTGGTAGAATTACATTCCCTATTAGGTCAGATACCGACGTCGAGGCGACCCGAATCGGTATTCCCCATTTAGGTGCAAATAAGGGTCGTCAGGCGGTCGAACCGACGTTGGTACCCGACGTCGGGTTTATTGAACGCGACGTATACCCAACGTTAGATAACGTCCAAATGCTACTTGGGCTATGACTTTAAACGTCAAGTGATGTAAAACAATAGATCTGGCCATGTCATATTGTGACACTTTGTCAAAAAGCAGTATGTTACCGATCATCATTTCCAAGCCAACTTTGCGCTGTTTTTTTCGATCATACGGCGTCAGCGATGGCTATGAAATGAAGATCGCTGTTATTTTATATGTAAAATGATATAGGGAATGTCACTGTTTTTTTTTCGATCATACGGTATCATCTATTAGATATCACTAAAGAGCGAAAATACGAGATATATTTTTATAAATACACTTTTCAAACTTTCAAGAAGACAGTATTTATCATATAGGAAATTCAAATAATTCGTTTTCTGACAGATGGAAATAAATTGTCTCACAGTTTGACACTTAATGTCAAAGGAAGCTAGATAAAACCAAGAAAAATATACGTTTTCAAACTTAATCTTAAATAACTTAAAAACGATTTATTTTAGGTAATAGAAACATGTACACTCAAAAAGTAACAAATTCGAAAACTTTTTCACTAGTGAAATAAAAAAGTGGGTTTCCATTTGAAAAAAATTATTTATGATACTTTTTTAATCACTCAATTCCATGACAGCTACCGCCATTTTTATATGACATTTGAAAAATTTAATTTTTGAAATAGATAGCCACATGTTTTCTCTTTATGTCACAATGGCTGTGGTAATCACTAAATTTGACTTTTAGGTTATACAAATTTTTTTGACATGAAGATATTTTCGTCCAAAAATGTTAAATATTTTTTTTTCTCAAAAACGGTTAATGTTAGGTATAGCGTGTTTAACATCAATATTGATAGAATTTTACAGAGAATTTGAGGATGTAATAAAAAATGTGGGCACCCATTTAAAATAAGAAAGTTGCTGTCAACTTCCGGTATTTCCGAAAGTGGTGTCGCCAGATTGAAAATATTTTTAATCGATAGATCTCGTTGCAAAACAATGATGTGTAAAAAATCTCCGATCTAGATCTTGTGGTTCTCTAGAAACTTCTAATGCACGCTCAGCCTGGGACACCCTGTATATTAATCCTATTAGATTTAAATGCCTACATGTCTACTGATCTTGCAGTGTCTTGTTAATAGACTCTAGAGTTTTCATATTTCCCATCTTTGCTTGGCAGGCCTGCTTGCAATTTTGTCGAAACATATTTAGCATTACATGAGTACGATTTAATAGTGACATTATATTAATATTTTAGACAGATCCAACGCAGTGGCGAACAGTTTTCTTAATAGCAGCCGCTATATACATCTTATCGGATATATTTTTCGTTATTTATGCCAAAGGAGAACGACAATGGTGGGATAGCTTAGGAGATGAAGAGGAAACTACCGAAAGTGATTCCCAATTTCAAGAGATCAAATTGGAGAGAGAATCTTGATTAGTATTTATATGTATTAAATAGTGTTTTTTTATAATAAAACTTTGTACTATATTAAATAATATATCTTCTTTTATACCGAGCATTTTATTTTCCATAATATGTGTAAAAATTACTTCAATTTTTTTTAGATATTGATACACTTGATAACAATAACATATCTAGATATTAACCTGTAGATAACTAGTGTCAATCATTCATTATTAGAAGTTCATAATAAATGAATAATCTGATATTATCAAAAGTTAAAAAATAGTTTAAATCCCATAAGAAATCTATAATCTATACAAGTTATTTTATTTTGAATATGGCGAAGGTGCCAGGATAAGAAGGTGCCAGTATATACAGGGTGTTTCAAAACAAATGCGAAAAACTTCAGGGGGTGATTCCTTGTTCAAAATAAACGGTAGTTTGCTTCATAAACGTTGTGTCAAAAGTCAACCATTAGGGAGATATTGCGGTACAAAGATGGCGGAAAAATAATGTTTTTATTTTTTATCTTGAAAACGAAAAGAGATAGACTAATAAAATTTTATGGAAGCATTACTGTTATGAAAACACACTTTCTGGTAATTTTTTCACTTTTTTAAAATGAGTGGAAGGGGTTGAAATAAACTACTTATCATTCTTGTTAACGAAATTTAAAGAAAAATCTTATCAAACACATGCAAAAAAATTAATTTGGATAGTTTAGTTTGTTTAGAAACTTTTTTATCTCTTGTATTTTTTTGAAAAAACTCACCGATTTGAAATTAAAAAAAAATGTGAAGCATTACATGTCAGGACAAAAAACATTTTCTGATAAAGAATCTAGTGGGCTGCTGTAATTTTTTTAGGAAAAAATCTAATCGGCCGCTGTTACTTTTTAGGATGTTCCTAATATTATTTTATTTGACATTACTCTACTGCAATACGTTATTATCTAGATGATTATTCTTATCGTTATTATCACTAGATTCTTTATCAGAAAATGTTTTTTGTCCTGACATGTAATGCTTTACATTTTATTTTTTAATTTCCAATCGGTGAGTTTTATCGAAAAAACACAAGAGGTAAAAAAGTTTCTAAACCAACTAAACTATCCAAATTAAAGCATTTGCATATGTTTGATAAGATTTTTCTTTAAATTTCGTTAACAAGAATGATAGGGGTAGTTTATTTCAACCCCTTCCACTCATTTTAAAAAAGTAAAAAATTACCTGAAAGTGTGTTTTTATAACAGTAATGCTTCCATAATATTTCATTAGTCTATCTCTTTTCGTTTTCAAGATAAAAAATAAAAACATTATTTTTCCGCCATCTATGTACCGCGATATCTCCCTAATGGTTGATTTTTGACCCAACGTTTATGAAGCAAACTACCCTTTATTTTGAACAAGGAATCACCCCCTAAAGTTTTTCGCATTTGTTTTGAAACACCCTGTATATATAAATTAAGGTACCTATATAGGTAAAATTGGAAACAGAATATGCCTAATAAAATATTAATTAAATATCTAAAGCTAGATGCTATTAATTTGTTACATTACACTATTAATTTATGATATTAATGAAATAATTTAAAGTCATTTTAAATTAAACAAATTGACATATACATTATAAAAGTAAGGTATCTTAAAATGTATCCTTGTAGAAAACATAAAAATGAGATATTATGAAAGAACTAAAAATTTTACTACATTGTAGTATCTCAAAAAAGCATTAGCGTCACTAGCAATTTATCCTGGGGTGGGCCTGAGGGGGCCTAGGGCTTTTGTTTTTTTTTAAATGAAAAATAATTTTAAAAAACACATTTTTTGAATACAATTTTACATGAATTTCTCTATCAGTAAATTTCATAGATTTGGTTATCAAACCGTGTTCCCGTAGATTACCTAAATACCTACAAATTTTCTAAAAAAATAAAAATTAACAAATTTTTTAAACACAATAAAATAATATTAACGAAACAAAACTAGAAAACGTCATTTTTACTACATCACATGCAAGCAAATAAAAATTAATACGTAGCCAAGAGTCATAATTCAGGATATCTCTGTGGGGTGCCCAGCAGTACCTGGGGGGGGGGGCATCCCCGGGCACCCCTGTAGTTACGCCAGTGCAAAAAAGTCAAGATGTTTAGGTCATGCACTAATATGAAGTTTTTCTTCTTAGAATAGATCCAAGAATCAACCTCTTTAAATATTAACATGTTACTAAGAAACATCCTGTATATTCTAAATATTAATACAGCCTACGCAACTTAAATTATAGTGTAAAAACAAGAAGATTGTACTAGAAAAATATATTAATTAATTATAAAACCAAAACCGTCAAATTAAATTAAAGAAAATTTGAATACTATTAGAAGAAAACAATAAAAATTTACATACGAGATGGTTTTTTTCATGATAGTAAATAAGATTTTTATTTCACCTAATACTATTATTGGAGACAGAGCAGAAATTCGTACAAGCAGCGTGTAGGAAGAACTGGTACGCCTTCCAATTTTCAAATTTTTCGCCAAAAGAACATTCCTGAATGCTTAAGTCATGCTATTAGAAGAAAATATTTATTTATAGAATTGATATCTAAAAAATGGGACAAAGAAAAAAATAATTAGAGAAATCGCTTTGTTAAATTTTCTGAACGTTGTAAAATATTCAAACAAAAAGTTTTTATTATATATACACTCAACTCAAATACAGGGTGGCGCCTCTCATACGCCGCGGAAGCTCTAAGGAGAACGAGAGTTTGTATTGAAAAGTTACATATCAAACTTGTATTTTTTGTGATGGAACACCCTATATATTAATTGATTTTCGGATTGCGGGAGAAAAATAAAGGTGAGTTTTTAATAAATAAATGTAAGGTTTTTGATATATTTAACATTTTCTAGAAATAAAGAACTATTTTTAAATTACAATAAAGGCTACCTAAATTGTAGTTTACCAGGTATAGCCAAATATGTAGTTAAATTAACTATTGTACTTTAAATCAAATTAAAACTTAATCCAAAAAGTTATACAGGGTGAGACCTGTTATACAGGGTGAGGTCTGTTTTTTTTATGTTAAAGACAGTGTTTACAAAACTCGACCAACTATTGTCGACAACATGAGAGAAATTATTGTAGCTACTTTTCGAGGTAGAACTCCACATATTATGCCTTTTATAATGAAAAGATCCTTTTGAAAAGACAATCATTTGATGTTAACAGGAAAGAAAGCATTTTGATCATTCGATTACATCTAGCTAATTTTTGTCCCATAATTATAGGTTTATATCTAGTTTTAATTCTGTAATAATTAAAATATGTTTTAAACGTGTATCTATTTATTACCGTTGACTATTTACTCTACTATCTTTAATGTTTGTTAAATTAACAAAAGGTATATAACAGCCACCTAGATTTTTTCAAATAATACAGATCTATTGAACAAAATACACGAATTTCAGGATAATTTGGGTAATAGACCGCGCCTATTTCGTTGTGTTATACTTAAATACTTCGTGTATAATTATTGGCCTAAAGAGTCGAGCTAATTCAAATAAGACCACGCCTCGCGACGAGGAATAAACAAAAGTTCTTGTGGTATTCGGCATTATGAAATCCGATTGTACCCTTGATTAGTTCTTAATTTCTTAGATTCATTCTATTGTAAAATAAACTAAAATAATCTTTGTAGGATACAACTCTGATTAAAAATATCTATATCATTGTGGCAGGTTCACTTCTTGAAAAAAAAAGGCCTTTTAAAAAGAACGTCAACGTTATTGTGCTAAAAAAAATAAATTATTCTTGTAGTAGCTGTATCTAGATACCTATATAGATTTTTTGCAGGTCGCACAAGGCTCAATGGAAGGAAATATGCTGGGAATAACCAAGAGAGACCGTAAAAGATTGGAGTGGATACGACAAAAGATCCAGGTGGCAGATGTCATCCACAGAGTCAAATCCCTCAAATGGCAATGGACAGGACACCTGGCAAGAACGGACAACAGTAACAATAACTTAATGGTTATGTCCTAATTCTTCATTATTTTAGGTATTTTTTTATTAGTGGCAATTGAACAGTAAGGATATTAATTTTTTGTATGGCGTATGACGTCAGAGGTGGTATGCGCAAACTGATGTCTACTATCTACTATCTATCATACCTTGTTTTCTTTGTATCATGGGTTATACTAATTAGTTTACGAGCCAATAGTCACTGACAAACGCAGTGGCATTTTATAAAAAATAACTTTTTTATTCTTTCAGTATTATTCAAAATATCGTTATGAGGTAGTAGGTAGTACTAGAATTTTAATTCTTGTTTATTCAGTTTCGATATTCATGAGATTGAAAATGTTAAAAATGAAATTGGGGTTAATTAAGGCAAAATTAATTTTTCTACGTCGTGAGTGATTTTTTTTAAATTAATTTTAGTTCAGAAGTTACAGAAAAAGGCGCTAATTTATTTTAAATTGTTTTATAATTTAACCTTTGTTGCGCAGTGATAGAATCAAAGTGTGTCAAATAAAAAAACTAAACAGATTCCCTTTTGTAGAAATAAGTATAAATATCCTCAAAAAACTTTCTACCAAAACTAGCAAAAATTAATTAATAAAAACAAAAAATATTGAGAATGAATCAGTTTAATTTTATTGTCTTCAACACAAATTTAAAACATTTACATCAGTATTAATATATTAACGGAATACAAATAAATATATTAAAAGTTCTAACTAGCACACTAAACTATTAAAACTAACAACAAACTGAATTTAATTAAGTCTTCTTTTATTCTCTGTTGTGATTTTCAATTTTAAGATCTAAATACCTACATATTCTTCATTAATTAAAATTGAATCATTATTATACTACTACACTATACAATATACCCGGTGTCTCATATAAGAATAACCACTACAAGATCTCGTAAACCAGATGAAAAATACAAAAATTATTAAATCAGAGAAAAATTGGGTCTTGGTGAACCCTGACGTCACTGAACGTATCGAAAAATAAAAATCCGTTTATTTGGAATAATTTTCAGTAGAAGATGATATATGGAAGATTATATTTAAGACAAAACTTGTCTTAAAGA